ACACATTTACACAAACACGGTTTTACTCTTAGTTGGAACTGTTGAAATTGTATTTATTAATTAAATTGCAAGAAAATAACAGCTATTCGGTGTGGGTATAACGCGTTTTACTGTGGCCCAATATAGGACCATCCGCATTTCTCATACTATAATAATATTACATTGTATGCACTTGTCCTATAAGCTCCCAATAAGATGACGTTTACTCGTGTATGTGATGTGGTTGCCTCTGTCGTACGGGCGTACAAAATAGCAAGTTTGAGTTCGGCCGTACCGCGATTTCGTTTTGTTATGGCTGTAATTATGTGAGAATGGATTGCAGTTCAGTGGCGTAATTTGGTCATGTTTGTGTGTGTGTGGGGGGGGGGGGGGGGGGGAAAAGTTTTTTAAAGTTTAACCCCCCCCCCCCTGAAAAATAAAATAAGTATTTATTATAAGCACCTTTCAGTGCAATATATAATAGTTATGATGATTTCAAAAAAAAAAAGAAGTATATAAACCAAAAAAGGTCGTCATGGGGGGGATACGACACCCAAATCCCCCCCGTAATTACGCCACTGTTGCAGTTGACCTGTTATCACTTATCAAACTTAAAAGTAATACAATTTTCTGCTTTTATTTATTTTGATCTTCTACCATATTTCAATTTGTAAGTGAGTTATGAATGTTTAATATTAAAACCTTTCAATATAAAATACCTCTATTTACAAATACTGAAAACTAAAAATAAACTAGATCTGCTGATCTCAAATTTTGCTATGTTCTACATTTGCATGACGTTTGTCGACGGAAACAACACTCGCACTCGAGTATGCGTAACTATAGAGTATTTTTAAATTTTTTATTTTTATTCATATTTATTTACACAATCGTCCGACACTATTTTAATGGAAATTTCGATGAGGGTTCAAAAGTTTGACAGTTGTTGGTACGAATAAAAACCAGCCAACACTAACCGTAAATATTATAAAATTGTATTGCCGAGTTGGTATAAATATAATATGTCACTACGCGAATCTGTCTATCTGTCTATATGTGCCTTGATTCTTGACTTCATTGCTATGATTAAAACTCAAAAGTAGTACAAAGTTTTATATTTTAACAACAATAATTTCTTTTAATATTATATTGTTTATTGAAGTTAAATTGTATTAATTTTTTTCGTATATATAAGTAAGTAGGTACTAAGTCATACATATTAAATATATTTCGTAAATAGTATAGGTACCTATAACGAGTATAACCTATAGAATTTAATACACATATCATTAATTTTTTAGATATTTATATTTACCGTAACATATTATCCAAGAATTCGTATTAAGCAATAGGTACAACATTTATAACTATTGGTAACATTTAATGTGGGACTAATAAATTACGTAGGTATATGAACCAGAAAATATATAATCTGTCTTGTACTTTTTCCTCATTGTTATTTTATATTTATTCAAAATTATAATCTCCCCCTTCTTGGCTTGCATCTTTTGTAATTTATAAATTGTTTATTTCACTCTGTTAATTGTTTAAGAAATATAAATAAGGCAACACTTTAGAAAATAGCACTTATAACAAGAAAAAAACAGTTTAAACACACAAATGAAAGCTGCTTACTTAATATTTTTTTATACTCGTATTATTTTGAAAAAAAATTTTCGTTTACTTTTTGGTAATACTTTTCATCAAAAATCATTATAAACGAAAGTCCTCTGTTTGAATTTTAGGATGGACTTATTTATAAGATAAATTAAGTTGTAGTTGTTTGAATTTTAGTATAAGGATATCGTATATACTACATACTGCAATGTATATAAATATTAGTAAATACCATAATATGCTTTTATACAAAATGCGTAACCATATGTATTACATGTAAAGACTACGGTGCCATAAATAGAGTTATGTGTGAATTAAAATATTTTACTGATATTGTAAAATTTTAAATAAATTCTAATTTTTAATAAAGTATTTATGTAAATGATATACTTACTAGTAATGCACTAGGTTGTTACCTAGGTATAAATTAAATATGTTTATACTGAATTATATTAAATATCAAGCAACTGCTTAAAAGTATTTAACACAAAAATATTTGAATTTTAGTTTTATGTTATAGTTAACAGATATGATATGTTATTTTTATTTATTTCATTGTTTTTTCATTTTATTTATTAGTCATATGCTTCACTTTTATCCCGTATTTATAGTGGAATTGAATTCAAACAGTGGACCTAATGAAATCTTTAATAATCTAAATATATAAGCACAATAAACATACCTACATTCTTAGAATGATTTACATATTATACAAATCATATTTTTTTTTACACTTGGTATGATTAATTTGTTTTTGTTTATTTACTGTTTACCTGCGCTATCTATTTTAAATTATATTAATTGTTTGTTGATATTTTTTTACTAAGCTTGAAAGATAACTAAAATGATGAAAATTATTGAAACTACAATAGTTTGCTGATCTAGAGGTACAATGTAAATGTCTAAGAATGTAATGAATATTTAGTATTCTTTTGCATTAAGTTTTTAAATAAAAATAAATTTTACTGTAACACCAATTCAGATTTTAAATATTTATTTATAGATAACTGTTATGGTTTAATAGTAAATTACTGTCCTTCGAAACAAATTATATTCCTCATAATTTATAATACCAATGCCATTGGTAGCCCTGAACAGTGGACAGTGGATTTAACATATTATTGAATTTAGTTTTACATAAGAGTTACACAACATATAAATAATAATAATAATATATATTATACTGTAACACAGCCAATTCTCAATTATTTGTGTAGTAACTAATATAAATAATAACTAGTATAATATTATAGTTACTTCTTGTCTACATGGTGTATATTAATTTAAAATAAATAAAAATATTCTACCTCTTCTATAAAGAAAATAAGAATTTTTGTATTAAAGTTTAATGCACAAAACTGCAATATGAGCAATTGTGAAATAGCAATACAGGTATACAAAGGTCACATGATGATTCTTCAATCATGTTCGCCCCCATTTTTAATTCAATAGCAAATTGTGATTTTTTAATTTTTAAGTATTTTGAATTTTCAAATTATCATCACTCCCATATCGTACAATGACGCATCCTCAGTACACACAATTATATAACTAAAAAACTACTCGTTCAAATTTAAATTTGGATACATACCAAATTTGTCCATACATAATACAATTACAAGTACATAATACTTCTACGTTTTTTTTAAATTAATAATATCTAAAAAAAAACAGCCAAAACTATTTTTTTTTTAATTTGGCACCACCGCCAAAAAAATTATTATGAAACTCAAGGACGTATGCCACCCATTTCCCCACCCACCCTTAGGGCCTGTACTCATAATAATCATTATTACGTAGGTATTTATACTCGTATCTATATTATCATATATTAAAAAATAACACCGGGAAACGGTGTGCGCACTGAGCAGAATACCAGTGAACCTAATTATGTAGTTTGAGTCTCGGTCTTGCGCACACGCAAACCCACTGCTCTCTTGGTACGATAGGTTGTGACTATATTCTAATTGATGCATGCTCCGGAATTATAGAAAAATAATAAAAACACATAAACAAAAATGTGCTGCATAAAAACTGTCGTTTAAGCCAGGCGATGAGAGTTTGCGTAAACTATAAGACGTATCACGTGTGTACGTGTAACACGACTCACATATTATCGACACGAATGATAGATAATATGCGTATGGTGATACTATTGTGTTGTACAGATTATACAGTATGTATTAAACTTTTATCCTCGTAATAGTCGTACACTTGCCCTCCTTCTATTTGTTACAACACTCCACTACTCGAAACAAGCCTAAACTTTTAAATGCACCCACTACTATAATATGTATTATTAACTGTTTCGGAAATAGTTTTTGAATAACATTCAATCAGAGAATAGTGACGGGCTTGAGGAAATAAAATATGTGGTCCCAAGTGATTGATTCAAGACTCATACAATTTTATCAAATTGCTTGAGAGAGCAAAACGTTTAAAATTGTATAAATATTTGTCAGTTTTCATTTTTTAAAAGTATATAAATAATTGAACAATTTTGAATATGAAAAATATGCTTCGGACTGTGCAGAGTATAAACTTGTTTATAAATAAAAACGAACCACTATAAATATGGGCGTATTGTAATATTATTATAATGTAGTCAAAAATCAATAAAATAAAATCACATACGTAATTTGTACATAAAAGTGCTTCTACATCAAAGGTCATACTGCAGGTAAAAAATATTACACTCGTCCATACGACCAATGCATATAAGAAAGTAGGTAGGTACCTAACTTTTGTCAACCGTCTAGGTTGAGTTGATGAAAAATGTATTATTGGCTTTGCAGGGGGTTACAACTTATAAATTTGAAAGGAAGTAAGATCGGCTGAGATCCGTCTAGTGTACCGGCACTCATTGTCCAAAAAATATCGACATATTGTAATAGAAAAATTTTCAAAACTTGAGTGGGCATTAAACTGCGTTTATAAACCAGAACCTCGAAAAAATCGATATTTTTTTTATTTCGAGTTTGTTAAACCAAATCATATTAACATATACACGATGAAAGTCCTCAACACTTTTCTAAAACTATTTTTTAATTTCAAAAAACGTCAGACCTGACACCCCGCCGTCAAAACAGACTGCATAATATACTGAAATCGTACAGGTCTTAAATATATTATATTAGACAGGACTGGTAATCGAGTACTTGACTATTTATACTAAAATAGTATACCGGGTATACCGCCCGATACACGTGACAATAATATCGTCATTATTCAATAAATAATGTGCGCGCGCGTTGTCGCCTCCGCCGCGAAAAACACGAAATGCACTCACAGTCGTCCGGGCGGTGAGGTGGAGGGGCGCTGACCACCGGCGCGCCGCCGTCGAACACGAACCGGTCCCGCAACACCGAGTCGGCGGCGGCGGCGTCAGCAGCAGCAGCAGCAGCAGTCGGTTGTCGGTGAGTCGGTGTCTCGACAGTCGTTTACTACCCGTCCGACATTGCGGTCGGTGCGTCCAGTTTTTTTCTCAGTGCACCTGTTCCTCCCTCATATAGTTACGGTTCCGTCTTTTGTCCGTTTTTAATTTTGGCGCCATCCCCTCGTTGTACCGAGTCGGTTTTCGTCACGTACTCCCCCGGCACCTCCCCGTATCCGCACTGTAATAATAATACTATTAAACGATCGTACCGAGTGCACGTGGTGAATACAAGACGTATTTAATTAACCAGTCCTACCTATATCAAAAACGAGCAGCTCGCGCCCAGACGACCCGTCGTATCAGGTAAAGACCTTCATTCTATTGTATTGATAATAATTAGTTACGATAATATTACGGTTCGGATAGCGACAAGTCGAAAGCCGATTGCCACGGCCAAAATTTCACGACCTCCGAGCCCGTGTCGGATGACATAATGTTATTATAACGTAGTAATATTCTGTTGTCTAGCGCTTTGACTTCCCTGTAGGTACACTTGTTACTTATTCACGGTGATCACTATAACGAACGACAGGTTGGGGTAACGCGATATTGTGATATATTTTTGGTATAGGTATACAACGTTATCGTCGGTCGATACGATAACGCGATACCCGTGCGATGGTGTACACGTTTCGCCGTTTCGGATTGATATTGAACCCGTCCTTATCGATGTATAATAATAATAATATAACTAGTCAGTAGGTGATAGTTTTTGCGCAAAGTTGCACCGGGTGACTTGAATGCTGGTCTACCGAAAGGAGGGTCTATTATTATAGTTCTATACAGAAAACGTGTGGCATGGTCTGCCGAACACGCCCGAACGATGTACTGTTCCCATGCTCTGTGAATATTCAAAAACAAATAATACGTTATTTTTTAAACAGTAATTATTACTAACACAAAAAAACCCTAATAATTTAACAGTTGTAGCGTTATGGGTCGTCTCTAGACTTCGGGTAGCAATGCATCTGGTTGAGATACGATTCATTTAAATTGTTCTGTTATTGTTTTTGGGATATCGTATTTTTGTACATAATTATTAAAATTGTTTACTTCATTAGCGATTATCGTTATAATTGTCGAGCCTTAACTATTATAATAATATTACCTATATTCGATCATAAATATTTTAGAAAATACTTTTCTGTTTTAAACACTAATATTTGGCGATTTAACGACTGTCATTAAAATTTTAAGTGACACATAACTACTATTTTGAATTTAAGTAGACGTTACTCACCTACAACAATTTAAAAACGATTATAGTATCATGTCGATTTATCAGCTCGATCCCACCTAGTAAACGATTGGGTATAATATTTATCGTAGTAATTTATAATTACAAATAAACGTCAAATTAGCTTGAACCATTTTCGAGTGAAAACACTACCTATCGGAGAAGTTTAAGTATTAAACAATTAAACAACTCGTGTATAAACTAAACATATTATGTGCCTGCTTATTTAAATTTTAAATGAAACATAACTTTAAGGGTGTCGTTAAGTTTTGAAGGTCACTGTAATTTTCTCAAATAATTTAATTGGTTTATATTATAGTTATAGTACATTGGCTCATATAATATTTAGTTACATACATTGCAGACGTTGGCTATACAATAAAATAGAATATGAAATATTGTAGAAAAAAGAATATAATAAAATAATAGTCTACGAAAACTGGACCAAGATCGTAGGAGTGCATTGTTCGTACTCTATGCATTGCAACACAGACACTATATTATGTACTCTGTCTTATAATAATGTATCCAACGGGCGATTAAAAATAATGTACGGGTGGCATTGTGTTGAAATTTTATAGGTAGGTACTCGAATCGAATTTAAAAACGATGGAAAATAAAATTTGTTTTGTACAATGGCGACTGTCCAGTTATGCGGATCGTGTCCGATAAACCTTGGGCGGACGGGATGCCGTCAGTCGAATTTTAATATTTTTATCTAAAGTCCATTGTAGTTTAGTCGGAGAACATATTATATACCAATGATACAATCTTTGGTCGATTTATAACTTTGCTGAAAAAAAACATATTGACGAATTATTATTATTTAAGTAAAGAAAAAAAGTAAACAAGTTCAGTTTTACATTTTTTTTTTAAATCTTCTGTATACAGTTTTAACTATTGGGTACGTTTGTAATTTTCTCGACGGTCATATAATATATCAACTCCGACGGTTTAAATCTCAACAGGACTATTAAAAGTTTTTAAGATTTTAAAATACAAGATTACTACGAGTTTGGGATGAGGGTGGTGTGAGGTGTTACGCTTAGGTATAATATTTTATATTTTATACGAAATTTAATATATGTTTACTTCGTGTGATTTTATATAGGGAATGAAAAATATTAAACGTAGTTCTATTCGTAATATCATTCATTTCAAAGTTTTATTCCTCGCTGGTATAATACAGGAAATGCTGTTTATTTTTATTCGAGGACGATACTTCACAGTTCAAACTATTATAATACATCTTCTATTATTATACTGTTCATGAATTTGGGCAAGGGCGAATATTAACTTCTCCAACCGTTTGTTTTACATTGATTAATTTCTTTTATAAAAACCAACTTTGAAAGTCCATTATTGCGACCTCATGAATTAAAGTACTAAATCAATGTCATAACACATTATTATAATTATACGACAATTGCATATCATTATCTAATATTTTGTTTCAGATGTTTAGTTAACGATGATAGGGCATTTATGAAGTTTTTTTTAAGCTGCTTATTATTTTTAATTTACCAGCTTTAATAATTCAGTTAAATTTGTACAATAAGTTTATCCCCATACCAACTTAGCGTACATTGATTTAATATAATATAATTTAAACATCATATGATAAGCGCGATTGGGTCCCTGGAGGTAGATGGTTGATGATTCCGATTGAATAAACTGAATGGTATTATTATATTTGATTATTGGAATTGGCAGTTTTAAAAGATAATAATATTTACTGATTCTAGGTATACAATAAATTTTAATGTTTAATCGCATAAGCAAACTATGTACTATATCATAATTTTAGATTTCTTTTAACTTATTTAATTTTCTTGATAACTACGGAATAACCTGAGACTTTTTTCTTTGAAGTTAAAACTAGTTACATAATATTAAAATATCTATAATATAAAAATCATTGTGAACAGACCAAATTAGTACAAGTTTTGGGACATAATCTGATGAATTACATGTATTATTATTTATTTAAGAAACATCAAAAACATTTAATACAACAAAGTATTTATGCAAACTGTTGATACCTATTCTTATTCGCAATACTAGTGATACTATGCATAAATAATACTTTTTAGTTATTACGTAATAAAAAAAACTACACTTACATAATCATAAGAATGTACTTTTGAACAGGGGTCAAGAATTTGTCGAAGGATGTTTTTCGGCACCTTCCTGTGTTACTTGTTATCTATTTTCTGATTTGTGTCAACTTCCTGTCTATAGTCAGCAGGAGGTATCTAACAACTATCGAGATCACTCCATTGTCTCGTAAATATTTTATCTAATTTTTAATTTTTTTGACAATGTTCAGTCCTTCGAATAATAATAATGTTATATTAACTATACAGCGCGATACCATCATCACGTACGGCTGCCGTATTGCCGTACCGGTGAACCCTGTCGTGCATTACAAACAAATAAAATACATTCCTGCCGGTCGATGTCCACGTGGGGAAATTGATCGATAGGTTAGCCTACACGTTGTCCGTTGGGTAATAATATGTATATTATATTATGTATATGTATATGAATATATACACACTTATATATAAAAAAAACTTAGTAGGTAATAATAAATAAATGGATAACGTTAATAATTTAATATACGACCTTGTCGGGAAGTATAATTTTTTTCGAGTAATTTATTTTTTCTTAAACCACTCGACCGTAATACTGTTGGATAGGTATAGAAAAATATGTTATACCTACGTACGAGTTCTTCGATCCCCAGTATACCATAATAATAATAATGAGCAGCATTTGAACCGGTTAACTGGAACTGTAGTACAGGCGTACAGCTGCTGCATTCGAGAATTATTTAGTAGAAAGTGAAGGGGGTTTGATCGGTATTTGTCGTTGGTCCACTCGATGTACATATTACATATAAGATATAAGGTACTTGAATGAAAACTTACGTTTTTATGTATGTATGCCGTCGTGTGTTCGATAGCGTGTACACTTGATAATACGTATTGCTAGTAGAGTTTTCGTGTCAAGTGAATAGTTTATTACCCCATACGGTCTTGGAGAACGACGTCACATGCGCATCATCGTTTTTGAGAGCCAGCCAGAACACGAGTGTTATGGTATAATAGTGTACCTACTTCGAAGTCCTAAAAACGGATTTTGCTGCGTATATACAAACGAGTGGCTATAATATTATACGTGGATATGTTTTCGTAACAATATTCTTGTGCTGCTTTAAAGTGTGTTCTTATGATGTCTTATGATTGAATTTACAGTCATTCAACGAATTTTATTCCACTGGAATGGCTGACCTACTCATCAATAACTAGTCAAGTATTCTGTTGTCATATATGGGCTAGACGGTACTTATATTAACAACACAAATTGTGTTAGTTTCTATTTTTACTCTCAATAACTTAATTAAGACTTTTATTGAATTAGTTTATTTATATTAATCAAGACGTGGGTATTTGTATGGTCGTATGGTAATTTAAGTAACCTACTTGATATACCAAAGCATAATATTAAAATAAAATTAGATCGATCCTTAATCGTAAACGATACTTTCTATACTTAATTTAATCTAATAACTAATTCTTAATGATCATATTACGTTTAAATAGAAAGTATTAAACTATAAAATATAAACAAATAAAATGCATATTTTATTTGTATTAAAAACGAACAGTATAAAATAAAATGATATAAACGGATTATTATCATAGTTTTGTGAACTAAAAGACAAATTTTTTTTCAAAAGTTGTAATCATTACAGTATTAAAATAACGATAAATAACAGTTTTATAAATAAATAAATAATTGTATTTTTCGTGTGAAAAGTACAATGAGTAGTTTCCTCATATTTACTAAAAAAACTATTTTATTCTACAACTGCGAGATAATTTATTATTCATACCTTTTATATAACGGCTACACTCACTTCACAAACAATAGTTAAACAATATTTGAGATATGATATAGGTTTTACCATATTCTTATGTTTAGATCTACTAGATAATCGTCAATAATATTTAATGTTCCTTTAGATCTCAAAGTCTTGTGGCAGGCGCATGCATACTCA